TCCTGTGTGTGATTATGTTACGTGTGTTGTGTAGGTAGTGTTGGCAGCCCTGTGTGATTATGTTACGTGTGATGATGGTAGTGTTGGCAGCCCTGTGTGTGATTATGTTACGTGTGTTGTGGTAGTGTTGGCAGTCCTGTGTGTGATTATGTTACGTGTGTTGTGGTGGTGTTGGCAGCCCTGTGTGTGATTATGTTACGTGTGTTGTGGTGGTGTTGGCAGTCCTGTGTGTGATTATGTTACGTGTCTTGTGGTAGTGTTGGCAGTCATGTGTGTGATTATGTTACGTGTCTTGTGGTGGTGTTGGCAGCCCTGTGTGTGATTATGTTACGTGTGTTGTGGTAGTGTTGGCAGCCCTGTGTGTGATTATGTTGCGTGTGATGATGGTAGTGTTGGCAGCCCTGTGTGTGATTATGTTACGTGTGTTGTGGTAGTGTTGGCAGCCCTGTGTGTGGTTATGTTACGTGTGTTGTGGTAGTGTTGGCAGCCCTGTGTGTGGTTATGTTACGTGTCTTGTGGTAGTGTTGGCAGCCGTGTGTGTGATTATGTTACGTGTGTTGTGGTAGTGTTGGCAGCCCTGTGTGTGGTTGTCACGTGTGTTGTGTGGTAGTGTTGGCAGCCTGTGTGTGGTTATGTTACGTGTGTTGTGTGGTGGCAGCCCTGTGTGTGTGATTATGTTACGTATCTTGTGGTAGTGTTGGCAGCCTAATGTGTGTGATTATGTTACGTATCTTGTGGTAGTGTTAGCAGCCTGTGTGTGATTATGTTACGTGTCTTGTGGTAGTGTTGGCAGACCTGTGTGTATGTTACGTGTCTTGTGGTAGTGTTGGCAGCCCTGTGTGTGTGTGGTTATGTTACGTGTGTTGTGGTAGTGTTGGCAGCCCTGTGTGTGATTATGTTACGTGTGGTAAGTGTTGGCAGCCCTGTGTGTGATTATGTTACGTGTGTTGTGGTAATGTTGGCAGCCCTGTGTGTGATAATGTTACGTGTGTTGTGGTAGTGTTGGCAGTCCTGTGTGTGGTTATGTTACGTGTGTTGTGGTAGTGTTGGCAGCCCTGTGTGTGATTATGTTACGTGTCTTGTGGTAGTGTTGGCAGTCCTGTGTGTGGTTATGTTACGTGTGTTGTGGTAGTGTTGGCAGTCCTGTGTGTGATTATGTTACGTGTGTTGTGGTAGTGTTGGCAGCCCTGTGTGTGATTATGTTACGTGTGTTGTGGTAGTGTTGGCAGCCCTGTGTGTGATTATGTTACGTGTCTTGTGGTAGTGTTGGCAGTCCTGTGTGATTTTTTTCTCCTAAATGATAAAGAAAAGTTGTATTACAATTCCACATAACAGAGAAGGTTGGTAGTATTATAATCTGAAGCTCCATAATAACAACAAAGACATCAACAACATCAACAAATAAAACATAACACTGAACAACCGGCCAGGCAGTATATACAATCTCATGTGTGATTGTTGGTCCATAAGTCAATGTTATTACTGTTATTAAGGTGTGATTGTGATCTGAGTATAACACTATATATCAGGTAGCCGATAACTGTTATTTTTAATGGCTGTGGGATTTTAACTCTGTGGTGTGTTGTGGTGGTGTGGTGTGGTGTAGTGTGTTGTGGTGGTGCGGTGTGGTGTGGTGGTGTGGTGTGTTGGTGTGGTGTGTTGTGGTGGTGCGGTGTGGTGTGGGGTGTTGGTGTGTTGTGGTGGTGTGGTGTGGTGTAGTGTGGTGTGGTGTGGTGTGTTGTGGTGGTGCGGTGTGGTGTGGTGTGGTGGTGTGGTGTGTTGTGGTGGTGTGGTGTGGTGTGTTGTGGTGTGTGTGGTGGTGTGGTGGTGTGGTGTGTGGTGCGTGGTGTGTGGTGGTGGTGTGTGGTGCGTGGTGTGGTGGTGTGGTGTGGGTGTGGTGTGTGGTTGCGTGGTGTGTGGTGCGTGTGGTGTGGGTGTGTGAAAGGGGGTGTTGTGTGGTGGTGTGGTGTGGTGCGTGATGTGGTGGTGTGGTGTGGTGTGGTGTGTGGTGCGTGGTGTGGTGTGGTGTGTTGTGGTGGTGTGGTGTGGTGTGGTGTGTTGTGGTGTGTTATTCTGGGGATTTTAGCTGCGCACACACACACACACACACACACACACACACACACACACACACCCTAACAGATGGTAAGCCGTCAACTGTGTCGAAACTTCATGAAATATTTAAACGATCAAATGTGTCACGGAAGATGTCCCAGGGGGCCCCAACCTTGCCTGTAGAGAGAGTGTGTGTGTGGACCCCAGGTAGTGCCCACCCTGACGCTGGTATACAGTACAGTGTCCGTAGCGTCTGTTGAGGAGATGGAACAGCCTTGATTGAGCCACACTAGACCCCTGGCAGGAAGGTCAGTCCAACAAGGTCTCATCTCAGTAATAGGTCAATAAATGAGTTAACTGTAATATGACGTTACTTGTTACAATGTTATTAATGTATAAACTTATAAAACTCAGGCCTAGTCATAATGTATAGGCCTATGCAGGATCCACCGTAATTATAAAAGAAAAGTCATTGTATATTTCATGGTACTGTGTATAATATTCTCTCTCTCTCTCTCTCTCTCTCTCTCTCTCTCTCTCTCTCTCTCTCTCTCTCACCCAGGGTCCAATATTTACACCAGCCGGGCATAACAGGTTCGAGATGGGTCAATATATCAATAGTGTAGCCTAGGAATTCAACCCTAAATTGGTCTTGTTGGTTACCACTATCTGTGGGAGGGATATTGACCTATTCGGCAATGTCTTTAAGGTCTAGTTTACGATTGGTATTGATAGGAGTTTCGTTTTAAGAGTGTTTGTTGGATAGCACTGTATGCAGGAGGTGTATATGTCCAGTCTGCATAAACAGCTTACCTATAAACATGACCACGAAAGGTAAAAACCCAATAATATTCAGTAAGAACTTCGCCCTAAATTAGTGTGTTGTTTATCACTGTCTTGTGTGAGCATACATATGTGTACCGAGTTAACAAATATAGTATCAACAGCATGGTCATTAAGGTTCATTTCACCAGTACTGTAAGCTATGAATTTCGTCTTGTGTTGTTGTGGTGGCTTAGCACTGTCTTGTAGAGGGAGATGAGCGACCAGCGGCATCATTCACGACCAGGTGTGCGGGTCATTAAGCAGACCACCAGGTAAAGAACAAGAGACTGATGGCCAATAACACAAGATGTATTGATTGTTGACTCACCTGAGTCACGGTGATGGTGGTGATGGTGGTGGTGATGGTGGTGGTGATGATGGTGGTGGTGATGGTGGTGATGATGGTGGTGGTGGTGATGGTGGTGGTGATGATGGTGGTGGTGATGGTGGTGATGGTGGTGGTGGTGGTGATGATGGTGGTGGTGATGGTGGTGGTGGTGGTGATGGTGGGTGATGATGATGGTGGTGATGGTGTGGGTGGTGATGGTGATGATGATGGTGGTGGTGATGGTGGTGATGATGGTGTGGTGGTGATGGTGGTGATGGTGGTGGTGATGATGATGGTGATGATGGTGGTGGTGATGGTGATGATGATGGTGGTGGTGATGGTGGTGGTGATGGTGGTGGTGGTGGTGGTGGTGGTAGTGATGGTGGTGGTGGTGATGGTGGTGATGATGATGATGATGATGGTGATAGGTGATAAAAATGGTAACGATAAATATGAACATAAGAACATAAGGAGTTTGCAATAGGCCGGTTGGCCTGTGCATGGCAGCTCCTGTCGAGAGTTACTACCACTCTCTATCATCCATGAATCTATCTAGCCTCCTTTTAAAACTCTTCAGCGTTCCCGCACTTACTACAAAGTTGCTAAGCTTGTTCCACTCGTCCACCACCCTATTTGTGAACCAGTTCCTTCCTATTTCCCTCCTAAACCTAGACTTATCCAACTTAAATCCGTTGCTCCGAGTCCTATCCTGCTCGGATATTATAAGAACTTTATCTATATCTCCTTTATTGATTCCTTTCACCCACTTAAATACTTCTATCATATCTCCCCGCACTCTTCGTCTTTCTAGGGAATGTAAGTTTAGTTTCTTTAACCTATCTTGACATGGAAGGTTTCTAAGTCCCGGAATCATTTTCGTCATTCTTCGCTGCACCGACTCCAGTGAATTAATATCCATTCTATAATAGGGGCACCAGAACTGAACCGCATAATCGAGTGCGGCTTGTCTAACGCAAGATATAGTTGCAATAAGACCTCTGCACTATTATTACTTACCCTTCTAGATATAAAACCTAATACTCTGTGTGCCTTATTTCGAACATTAGCGCACTGTTTTCTACTGTAGGCCCGTAGGTCTGGGCTTACAAGTACCCCTAAGTCTCTTTCACAAGTCGAGTTCTCTAGGTTGATGTTGTTAAGGCTGTATACATTATCAGTATTTGTTCTACCAATATTAAGTACGCTGCACTTGCAGGTGTTGAATTTCATTCGCCATTTCTCTGACCACTCCTGCAGTTTATTGAAATCCTCCTGTAGTGCATTTGCATCCTGCCCTGAATTAATCTGCCGCCCTATTTTGGTGTCATCCGCAAACTTGCTTATGTCACTGCTGATCCCAGTATCTAGATCGTTTATATAGATTATGAACAAGAGTGGGACCAGTACTGACCCCTAGGGAACCCCACTGGTTACACGGCCCCACTCAGATTTAACACCATCTACGCTGATCCTCTGCGTTCTATCGGTGAGCCACGATTTTATCCAATTTTAAACTTTCCCCTCGATACCAGGAGCCTTAGGTTTTCTCAGAAGCCTTTGATGTGGTACTCTGTCAAACGCTTTGCTAAAGTCTAAGTAAATAACATCGTAATTATCGTCTTTATCTACTACCTCGAAGACTTTCCTAAAAACCGTCAGCAGATAATAATAATAATAATAATAATAGTAATAATAATAATAATAATAATAATAATAATAAGGAACCATAAAGAAATAAAAATACCTTGATTTTAAAAATGTTTTATTATACGGATGAACATAGTGGCACCATTCATGCTTTTAAAATTTCTTTTAAGTCGGCAAGCACACTTGGGTAGTCGGGGCAGTTCTCGGTGTCGACTATTCGCCTTTTTGTGTCGGCGACGAGCCTCACCACGGCTTCTTTCACAGTACTGTCGGCGATAACGGAATCCATGCAACTCTCCACAAAATAGATGAAGGAGTACAGATCGGTGGCGGGGCTGCAGGTTCCTCCCCGGAATAAGAGGGGGCACATCCAAGGATATGTCTTCTCATCTTCGGGGTTCACGGACAAGTGACGGCCAGAGATGCCACTCAGACCTAGGTCTATGATATTTATTTTAATTCCATTACCCATATCCTGTATTAAGATGTTATCGGGTTTAAGATCATTGTGTATAATTTTTTTTTCATTCAGTTTTTGTAGCTCGTAAGCGACAGAGGAGAGAATATTATATAGAGCCCTGGTATCCGGTGGGTTTTGTGAAATATACTCCCCAAGGTTTTGGTGCCCGACGAACGACATTAAGAGAGCGAGGGGCTTCCTACACAGACCCACAAGGACTGGGGTACCGCCTGCTCCGCCAGCAATCATATGTAACTTTGCCTCCAGTTCATAATTGTCGACGTTTTCATGCATAGCGGCGAGTTTTAAAACAAAATTTGTTTCGTCACATTCGACGAGGCTAGCGGTGCCGTGAGAGCCCTTCCCCAGATTTTTTACAAATTGAAAATCCTTTATATCTTCAAAAGTGAATACAGGTAACACAGTGAAGCCCAGACGCTTCCACTCCTTTAAGATTCCTTTAGACTTGTTATCTTGGCCTAGAGATTTTGGGGTAGACAGCTTCGTGGCTAAGTTGGCCTTCAATTGTTTGTCTCTCCAGGCCCTGGCCCGGCGTACCTCGGCGTCTCGTGCCGCTTTTCTCGCCTCCACTAACCGTTGCTGTGCTGCGTTACGTAGAACAATGTGTTTAAACATATTTGTAAATTACAATATATTATATAAAGATCTCTTGGAGACGTAAAGTAAGAAATTCAGAGGTACAAGCTGTTTTTGATGTTTTCAACAAAAATACATTAGGTTGGAACATTGATATAGTGTAGAGAACATCTAGTGTGGTGAAGATCTTGTGTAGTGAACATATGATGTACTGTTGTAGTAAACATGTGGTGTAGTGGTGTAGTGAACATGTGGTGTACTGTTGTAGTAAACATGTGGTGTAGTGAACATGTGGCGTACTGTTGTAGTGAACATGTGGTGTAGTGGTATAGTTAACATGTGGTGTACTGTTGTAGTGAACATGTGGTGTAGTGGTGTAGTGAACATGTGGTGAACTATTGTAGTGAACATGTGGTGTAGTGGTGTAGTGAACATGTGGTGTACTGTTGTAGTGAACATGTGGTGTAGTGGTGTAGTGAACATGTGGTGTACTGTTGTAGTGAACATGTGGTGTAGTGAACATGTGGTGTACTGTTGTAGTAAACATGTGGTGTAGTGAACATGTGGCGTACTGTTGTAGTGAACATGTGGTGTAGTGGTGTAGTGAACATGTGGTGTACTGTTGTAGTAAACATGTGGTGTAGTGGGCTGTGTGGTGTGCTGTTGTAGTAAACATGTGGTGTAGTGAACATGTGGTGTACTGTTGTAGTGAACATGTGGTGTAGTGGTGTAGTGAACATGTGGTGTACTGTTGTAGTGAACATGTGGTGTAGTGAACATGTGGTGTACTGTTGTAGTAAACATGTGGTGTAGTGAACATGTGGCGTACTGTTGTAGTGAACATGTGGTGTAGTGGTGTAGTGAACATGTGGTGTACTGTTGTAGTAAACATGTGGTGTAGTGAACATGTGGCGTACTGTTGTAGTGAACATGTGGTGTAGTGGTGTAGTGAACATGTGGTGTACTGTTGTAGTGAACATGTGGTGTCGTGGTGTAGTGAACATGTGGTGTACTGTTGTAGTGAACATGTGGTGTAGTGGTGTAGTGAACATGTGGTGTACTGTTGTAGTGAACATGTGGTGTAGTGGTGTAGTGAACATGTGGTGTACTGTTGTAGTTAACATGTGGTGTAGTGGTGTAGTGAACATGTGGTGTACTGTTGTAGTAAACATGTGGTGTAGTGAACATGTGGCGTACTGTTGTAGTGAACATGTGGTGTAGTGGTGTAGTGAACATGTGGTGTACTGTTGTAGTGAACATGTGGTGTAGTGAACATGTGGCGTACTGTTGTAGTGAACATGTGGTGTAGTGGTGTAGTGAACATGTGGTGTACTGTTGTAGTGAACATGTGGCGTCGTGGTGTAGTGAACATGTGGTGTACTGTTGTAGTGAACATGTGGTGTAGTGGTGTAGTGAACATGTGGTGTACTGTTATAGTGAACATGTGGTGTAGTGGTGTAGTGAACATGTGGTGTAGTGAACATGTGGTGTACTGTTGTAGTGAACATGTGGTGTAGTGGTGTAGTGAACATGTGGTGTACTGTTGTAGTGAACATGTGGTGTAGTGGTGTAGTGAACATGTGGTGTACTGTTGTAGTGAACATGTGGTGTAGTGGTGTAGTGAACATGTGGTGTACTGTTGTAGTGAACATGTGGTGTGTAGTGGTGTAGTGAACATGTGGTGTACTGTTGTAGTGAACATGTGGTGTAGTGGTGTAGTGAACATGTGGTGTACTGTTGTAGTGAACATGTGGTGTAGTGGTGTAGTGAACATGTGGTGTAGTGAACATGTGGTGTAGTGAACATGTGGTGCAGTGGTGTCATGTGGTGTAGTGATGTAGTGAACGCATGGTGTACTGTTGTAGTGAACATGTGGTGTAGTGGTGTCATGTGGTGTACTGCTGTAGTGAACATGTGGTGTACGTTACGATACTAACCTAACCTAACCTGACCTAACCTAACCTAGCCTGAACGCTTACAAACTTCTTAACATCTTAACAAAGTAGATCTTATTAAGTCAGGACGAGGGAAGAACTAGTTCAAGCTCACCAAACTTAAGCTTTGTTCACGAACTTATCACATCAAACTTAGGTAAAAAACAAACACAAAACTTTGAGTGTATGGAACAGATGGCGGGGGGGGGGGTGTGATTGGCCAGTTGTAAAGATTGGGGATTGTATTAAGACCGGAGGGTTGTATAAGTTTTCAGGGTTGTATTAAGATTGGAAAGAACATAAGAACATAAGACTGGAGGAAACTGCTTATTTACCCGTGTGTGTGTTTGTTTTTTGCAGCCTTTCATATTCTTAAGTTAACCTTGCGACATACAGTGCCCAACAAAACTGTCTTCACCGTAACTCTGTGGTGCAGTGTGACACAACCAGCCAAGAGTTCTGACACAAGTTCATGGTTCTAGCTTTATACAGGTACCCCCTACGTACTGTACCTTACATACCACCGACCACAACTACTGTTATCTGTTCATATAATCTTGTTTTATAACTAAGATATCTGTTTTCGTTACACCAGCAGATTAACTTTGATTTAAATCAAAGTTAATCTGCTGGTGTATGAAGTGAATTAATGGTATTTTCTGGGAGTGGATGGCAGTGGTGTTAATTAATTGAGAAGTGATTATAATAATATTGGTTGTAAATGTACTTGAATTTTGATAAGTGATAATTAAGTAGTAGTGTTGTGAGGGCGGCCGGTCAGGGCTTGTTGGTAGTGGTGAAACATTCTCCATGGAGCGTCTTTCCTCCCTACACATATGACAATGAATCATCTGTCTTTTATGTAGGGAGAAACTGAGACTAGCTAATTATCATAGTTATCAGGAAACACCTACCACAATCAGTAGCACCAACCCTACCACAACCAGTAGCTCCAACACCTACCGCAATCAGTAACACCAACACCTACCACAACCAGTAGCACCAACCCTACCACAACCAGTAGCACCAACCCTACCACAACCAGTAGCACCAACCCTACCACAACCGGTAGCACCAACCCACACCCAGCACCAACCTACCACAACCAGTAGCACCAACCCTACACCACCCAGTAGCACCAACCTACCACAACCAGTAGCACCAACCCTACCACAACCAGTAGCACCAACCCTACCACAACCGGTAGCACCAACCCTACCACAACCAGTAGCACCAACCCTACCACAACCAGTAGCACCAACCCTACCACAACCGGTAGCACCAACCCTACCACAACCAGTAGCACCAACCCTACCACAACCAGTAGCACCAACCCTACCACAACCGGTAGCACCAACCCTACCACAACCAGTAGCACCAACCCTACCACAACCAGTAGCACCAACCCTACCACAACAACCAGATCCAGTGTTCTTTCCGTAATCCACTGGACCCTGGGGTGAATATAATTATTTAGGGCCTATGTACACAATTACTCACATAACACTGTACTCACACCATCTGTTCTGTTGAAGTAATTACACCAAACTACCCATGAGCAGGTTACTATAACGAGTGTATGTCACGAGGGTTGTGAATAGACGGACATGGCGCTGTTACCGTCGTGTTGGTGTACTAGAAGTCTGGGAAGAATACTGGCTGGCTCAGACACTCAGTGCTGGTCGAGACATGAACGGGGGTGGATGTCAAAACTTGAGCTCTCCCATAGCTCTTAAAAAGGCTTCCCTCTTTTGTAAAAAGTGCAGGAACACAGGGAAACACTTTAAAGACACTAAAGGGAACACACAACACTGAAAAAGCACTTCACAACACTGCACTGTAAATCCAGGAATATCGTGTTGAGGTACGCGCAAAGATCCATCCGACAAGAGGAGTTGACAAGATGGCGGCTCCGAGAGAGATTCTGTGTCCACTCCAATTCTGAATAACGTGATGTCCCAGCTAAACACTGCGCCATGTGTGATACTCAGGTGGTCCTTACACTCAGGGGTAAAGGAAACACACTGATGTCAAGTCCGTAAGTTCTATTCCTGGTACAAACACAAAAAGGAGTTAAGACAGGGGTAAACAGCGTCCTGTCTTGGAATCTCTCTGGGTATCTCTATCTGCGCATGCGCGTACAGCGTGCATGTGCCCAAAGCCTGAACTAACACTTGGTGACAAAAGGGAGTATGATTATAAAACATATAATACAGAGACCTGAATCAATAATGGTAAATAGTACAGAGTTACATATTACAGCCATATTCGTCTCATATATCTACAGAAAGGGAGAAAAGAAGCACACAGTCAGCCAAACTCGTGCTGTTGCTTGAGTAAATCATGCAGGCAACGCAGAGACCACGACCATGCCTCGGGGACTGTGCCTCCACTGTTCACCTCCGCGCCACTAACACACTTAACAAGGTTACGTCGGCTTGTAGTGCCATCACAGAGGTAAACAGGATTCGGTGGGAGAGGTCTGTGATCGTTAACACACACACACACACACACGGACCGAGGCTGACCGATTGAGTCTATCAGCACAAGGCAAGACGCAGCTTGCGCCCCTGCGTTTCAGTAATTGTGCCAATATCAGTATTGATGTTTCGCTTAGGAACTCCCATTAGTCTTGGTTAAGCGTCGACGAAATAACACCATTACCATGTATCAGGATCTGGTAGAGGATCCCCTAGTTGGCTAGGTGTCTTGTTATTCGGGGCAGCTACAAGGTGTGTGTGTGTGTGTGTGTGTGTGTGTGTGTGTGTGTGTGTGTGTCGGAGTCTTTCTCTTGTGCGTGATAAGGGCCACGCAGACTTCAACTGGGTGAAATATCAGTCTCAGAAATGCGTAAATCGTTCATTCACAACCAGCCTTGTAGTCATGGTAATGTCAAAACAATATATATCAGTAGACCAGTTATGTATTCGTCACTTAATGAAACACGGTGAAGAAAATGCCATGAGAATATTCCATCCCTACAGAGTCTTGGAAGGAAACAGTGACTGCTGTTCTATCATCACCAGACTGTAGCAGGAGATGATATACTGTTCTCTAAATAACTGGGAAGTGTTAACCAATGTATGTCTTAGCTGGCCCTGTTTA